CTATGCCCCCGGGGCACGTTGGCCGCATCTAAATTCTCACGTCTGCAACGGGCGAACTTGTTCTCGCTAGAGCGATGTGTTGGTATGCCCGACACATCACCGACACGACGACCCTGGTTGTGGCGATCGATTGGCCCGCTTGTCAGGACTTCCCAGTCAGCTGATGCCGCAGATGCTTGAAACCAGCTGAACAACTTTGATGATGCATATTGTGGGTTTTGCGGGATGTGTATTGTTCACATTCACATCACTCTCGTTTGAACAGTCGTCCTCCTGTCCTGGTGCAATTATTCTGGTGAATCCTCACCGAAGGGGGGAAGCACTGGACTCCGGTTCCGCTCCTATTGGAGCTCCTCAGCAGTGCATATGCTTTTTCCGTGCCGGAGTGACCGTGCACTGGTGGACTAGTGGCAACACACTTGCCTCGCATGTCAGGTGTCCGGAGTTCAACCCCCGGCACGGCTGATGAGCTCCAATAGGAGAAAAACTCGAGTCCAGTGTTTCCCCCACCCTTTGGTGTGGATTCACCAGAACAATTGCCCCAGGACAGAAAGACAACTGTTCAAACGAGAGTGAGGTGGATATGAACAATACACATCCCATAACCCCCACAATGGGTAATGCATGGTGTCCTAATGGCGGAACGCATCGCTCATAAGGTTGCTCGGAGCTCCTCGACATCCTGCGACCGGTTTCACTCTCTCTCTTGGGCTCACGCTGTCCCTGATTCCCCTCAACTTTATCGTTTACTTGAATACCAAATTTGATGCAGGGGTGAAGAACAGTTTCAGACGGCGCTTCTACGGTACATTCTATTGAGCAATCACAAAGAGAGACCCAACTTTGATTGAAACCAGCCAAATATCCGAACAAACTACTCCATTTTTATCCACTAGATTAGGGTACAACATGTATTTTTGGTAGTGAAGTCCGTAAGCTTAGCGATTTCAAGGCTATTCATAATCAATTTATGTGAAATCCTGAGAGCAATTTAGAGTTTGATAGTTAGCCACAAACTTTTTCACCAATCCTCTCAACCATGCCTACAAGCCAGAAGCTAAATTTTGAAAATATACTGCGATATCTCGAATATCGTGCCAACTCAATCATGAGGCGGCCTGTGTGCAGCACATTCAGTTGTAAAATACCATAAACGAGAGATTCAGTTTAGTCTCTCGTGAAAACCAAATTGATTTGCAAATGAACGTATTTCTCAAGTAGAGCATAAGGTTGACGGAAATTAGGGGACTGCGCCTACCCGATGAGCCCCAAGCGGAAGGGCGAAACCGGTCGTGGGCTGTCCAAGAGTTTTCAGCAACCTTGTGAGTAGTTTCCTTTACGTAAATGTAAACCTATTACGCAGGGCCTAGAGTCAGACCATGTTCTATTGCGCGCTGTCACTGGTGGTCGAACTTTACAGCTCAGTTCAATAGAAGCCTGGATTGGGTGCCTACAACAACAATCAGCACGATGGTTTGCAGTTTAGCTCCACAAACCCCAACTGAGTAGATGTTGGTTGCAAAATGCTAAACGAACATGCACACAAGGGTTTTCCCCTACCATAACGTTTTGCTCGTCAATCAGAACACGCATAAACCGGAAGTTTGGGCGCACGTTGGCCTAGACTCACAAGCTTGGAAAAAAACAACGCTACTCACTCTGTGTCCGTTTGCAAACTGCGTTTATCCAACTAAACGGATGAGGACAATGGTGGACTTCCCATTCATTCATAGTAGTAACCTTACCGATTTATGGTGATGAGGACAAGGCAGCTAGCTGGCTGACAGATTCATCTACAAATTGACTGTGGGATTTGTTGAACTTCCTCATTAGAGGACAGTGCTTGTTAGTGTAGGAATTTACTCTGAGTTCTTGTTCTCTGAGAGTTTTTTTGTGGTTGTGACATTGTTTCCAATCAGTATGATATGCTTTCCGTGTGATATAAGGTGAAGATGCCGCACTTCTTGCGTTGTTGGAACAACGTTTGGCGAGGACGGATGCCAGGCATTTGCTTTCCGATGTGGAGGCCGGATATCCGGACAAGAACGATATTCCTATCAAGGCGGTTGGGCCTCAACAACGTTCAGGACATGTGGTGGATGGATCTAGTCAAGCAATCCTAGGCGAAGGTGGACCTGGTAAGTGAATTGTTTGAAATCGTTTGACAATTCCAGGATTAGCAGCCGTCTGGCCATCAACATGATTACGAGAATGTCTTCCACCCTGTGAATATGTAGTCACAACACCCGCAATGGAGCTGTCCTCTTCTTGTCCTGACTAGTCTGGCCAGTTCACGGTGAAATAAGGAATGGGCTGGACTTCAGTTTCGCTCAAGTGAAAGAAAGAAAACCCTTGTCTCTCATCAGCAAAGAGACTAGTCTGCCAGTTCACGGTGAAATAAGGAATGGGCTGGACTTCAGTTTCGCTCAAGTGAAAGAAAGAAAACCCTTGTCTCTCATCAGCAAAGAAAAACTAAGTAGTTACAAGTCACTAGACATGAAAGTAAGCATCCCATATGCACATGATGTATAAAAACCGAACATTTTCGCTCGTCCTCTTGAAATTCCCTGGATATCCACTGACTATTACTGAACAGCAATCAACACTGCTAAGCAAATCCACGATTTCAACAATACACTTCGCCTTCCATCAGGTGCGGGTCGGAGCGTGGCCACTAACCATAGACTAGTCGCATGGTTTATTAGTAGTATCTACTGTTGAACAAGTAGTGGGCATCTTTGACATCTTTCACCCTCGAACTTCGGATACATGAGGTGACCATGTTACTACTATTAGTTCACCATATTATTCTGAGTCAGCATGACTGAAGAGGCCACCATCGTCACGCTTGAGCGATGGTGTAGTGGCTGTTCGAGTAAACCCAATCGTTCCATCCCACTGAGACACGAACGATTGAAACCTACCAGACATTTTTTGCTTGGTGGTGGATCGCTGCCGCAGCTGTAGAGTTCGCATTCACCTCATCCCACAGAGAACCTGTTCACTGACGCTTTACTCCTGGTCCACTCACCCAATCAACAACCTGGAGAATCTTGTAGACCTCGGATAACTCTGATGATTTACAAGACTATGAACCCCCTATGGTCTCCAGTGGTAAAAACATTTGTTTTACGCGGGCGTACCGTACGTGTTGTTTTAGTGAGACCTATGAGAAGTAGTACTGGAATCTCGCCTTCACCGCCGGATCTAAATACATCAATAAATGAATAGCATAATTGGACCAAAGAGAACCAACAGGGGCACATCTGGATTGAAGGCTCACCAAGTTTCCTACCATTTATCAGTGAGTAGCTCTGAGTATACGATCGGATATCGTCAGGGGTCTGCGCGCCTTCATCCATCTGTACAGCGTTGGCTCCCTGAACATAAGTGGGACGACTTCAGACGCAACAACGACCAGACGACCAAAAAGCTGAGTAGTTGTTCACACGGCAGCCTTGTTTTTATCGTTGATAGAAGTGTGTGAGTTTAGAGGTTCAATAAATAATTGTCTGATTGTCGCCAACCCTCTACCTTCCCAGCAAGCCATTGGTGGTGCATTTTACTGCAATATATCTTCGTCTTGGGGCTGGTAGGAGTCTTTCTACAAGAACCATTCCCCATGTACAAATGGTCCATATAATTGATAGTTTCCATATAGAAATGTAATGGACAGGCGAATTGAATTCGGTCTCTTTATCAGTCTAAACTGTTACAGCCATTAGACGGTAGGAGTGATGGGCCAAGGGACAGCTCTAGGTTGCAATCATTATCTTCAACTTAGCGAGTTCGATTTTCGGGGTGACCAGATGTTTCTTCCGAGACATCTGGAAAACCGTCTCGGATTTCTCTCTTTGTGCAGGTTCGATTCGTTAGGGTCAACTGTATCCACCTCAAGGAGACTAAACTTTCTACTTTGAATGCTCACGGTTCACTTGGTTCACTTGCTAAACACAGGCAAGTATGATGTCAGCTCTTCAAGAGTTGTTAAACATGTGTTAGGTGTTGGGCGTGATACACTTACAGTCGTTGAACTTCAATACACACGAATCCTTATTGCAAAATAAGGGTTATGCGATGAGTAGTGGTCATAATAGTTTTGCTTTCACTCATGCGGTTTTACCATTGTTTAGGTGGAGCAGTTCGAGTCTTTCTTCCTGCCGAGTCTCAGATAATTGAACCTTCGGCTGCCCCCAGAGTCGGTTCACCTATCAGAGCTCAGCTAAGTTCCGGTGAATATGCTGCCCTGTCTGACCTGGGACTGCCTTATGAAGGTCTATCTGTGCCAACTCCCCTCGACCCGATGCATCCTGGAGTGAACGGTGGTAAGATGACACTCTTCAGTTTGTAGATCGTTCACCGGCTGCTCGTCTAGTGCATGTGAATACTGGGTGGATGGCATGGGTAGCCCTCCGTGCATGCTGGATTGCTCGTGACATTGTTCTTTGTTTTGGGGCTTATTCCTGTTACGGCTCTATCCATTGGAGCACACGTTTGGTGATACCACGCGCAGAAGAGAACGACGGTGATATGCAGACCCGTCTTTTATAGTGGTGAAGACAGTGTGGACATTCATCTATCGATTTTGTCCTGCAAGAGACATCAGTCTGTGCTGAGAATCAAAGATATATTTCGCAGCTGTTTCATCCTTATCGGTACCACACACCCGTGCTCATACTGGGATCCGTCCTCACTCAACTTAAACCGTGGATCACAGGTGAAAACCAATATTAAGTCACTCAGTCCAACTCCAAGGCAAGCTTCTAGAAAGTAGTCCGATTACCCCTCCAAAAAGCTATTCCATGGTCCATTCTACTGCGTTTTTGTCTATCCACAGGTGAGATGGAACGAGAACTGGAAGTGTTCCCACGTCAGGTGAGTCTATGAAATTATTTACTGCCCTTCTTTGGATGACACTGTGAAGCACTGTTGGTTTGGAAACGTGAAGAAATTCATAGAGTGGGAGTGAATAGGGGGCTAACAGTCTTCCTACTATGATTGTTTAATAGTACAATCGATTAATTTGTCTGGATTCCGTTGTTTCAATGGAGGAAAGCGGTTTGGTACCACCTGAACTTATGTTCGTCTCATGGTGCTGCAATGTTTGCCCGCTAGATTGAGGACGTCAATCTTTAACTTGACAAGAATTGTCCAAAATTACACGAAGAAACCTATTGTTTTCAAACTGGATAACACTGGCTTGCGAGGAGTTAGTGGATTATTTCACCCTGAGTCATATCCATTTTGAGCAGCCGTCGTTGGTCCGAATATCCTCACTCTGCTCGATTGTATGATATTTTGAGTTCGATGAGGCTCTCAAACTCTGCGCATCGTCTCCATCCTTTTAATGAATTCGCACACATCAGCCAGTGGTCGCCATGTCTGTCTGGAATTTACATGTTTCTGGGTGTCCAGTTTATCTCAACTTCTGGCCTGTCACGTGACTTGCGGGTCCGTCGTTGGTAAGTATTGACGTTCACATCTATACGTGGTGGTCCATCTTCTGTCGAGCTTCTAAATCGTCTTACCAATCGAGAAGGTGTCACCGGTGCGCAGCCAGACAAAACATCTCCTTCTCTGCTTGCGTTTATATAGTTTGGCCTACAGAACGTGATTTTTTGTTGAAAAAGTCATCCTACGATTAACTAACGACGTTAGATATGTCAGGTACTCTATATGAACCACAGATTCAAGTGAGACCACTTGATGACGACAAGTTTGCAAAATAGTTATCAAGCTCGAGAGTCCGAGTAACAACCAATCAGTAACCGACCACTCTGATTTATTACAGGCTACTCACGGGAAGATCACATGAGTCCTAGGCGCCAATTGTTTGATGACGACAAGTTTGCAAAACAGTTATCAAGCTCGAGAGTCCGAGTAATAACCAATCAGTAACCGACCACTCCGATTTATTACAGGCTACTCACGTGAAGATCACATGAGTCCTAGGCGCCAATTGGTGGATCTGACCGACACCTTGGGCGGTTATGCTCGCCTACTAAGCGCCAGATCAGGGCCTCTTTCCACGTGTTTAGCTCATTTGTGGTTGAGTTTGATGTTTGCGATTCATTCGCGTTGTTGGCCCGTTTTTATGGAAGGTTATGTTCAATTGTGATTCGCTTTACCAGTCATATCGCAAATGAGCTCGTCAACTGCGTTATATTTGCAGCCCCGAATACACCTGGAAGGTTCCCCAACCGAAGCAGTTGAAGGCCGGTATCTCCCACCTGCATATGGTGAGTCAAGTATGCAGTGACTGTTTCACAGAGTGTTGAATAGAGTTTAGGTCACGTGATTAGTTTGAAATTGGTCAAATCTACCCGACACCACCGAATGCCCCAAATTTATGACGTAGCTGAAGGCTGAAGAAATCGGATAAACACTGTTTGTCTTTCCAGTCAAACAGTTTAATCGGGTATCGACTACCTAGACAAAAAATGACACCTATTGACTATGATGAGCGAGCATCTGATTTGCTTTTAACCATCCAACTGCAGTGAACGAAGTTTGAAGACGATTTAAGATCAGGCATTGTCCAGATCACCTCCGTTCACCTACTAAACTATCTACAACCAAACTTGCCAAGATTCCAGTGGCAAAATGTTTGGATGAACTTGGACAGCGTTTTGGAACTTGAATTGCTTCTCTTCACTGCTGCATTTCTGCTTTTAGAATTTATCTAAGTCGTTTAGGTCAACGCGATGTTGTTATTTTGTTAATACTCGTTAATACTCGTTAATACTTGTTAATACTCGTGTTTACTGGGAAAGCAAGGCGAGCTTTTGATGTGGGTGATAAACCGCGGGTTCTATTTCGTATATGACGTCAGGGGACCTGTGCACGCTGACCTAATTGAGGCATGGCTTAGTCACCCTGTTTTGTCCACAATAAGGGGTGTGTGCATCAAACAGACTGGATGTACCAAGGGATTTTGGATGCATCCCACAAACACAATAAATCCTTATTCATCGTTACCCTAGATTATTTTCCAATACAGCGACCAACAAACCGTGCCAACAATCTACAATTAGTTCACAAGATGAGTGATGCTCCTATATGGGAAATGGTCATTTGAGGGACCAGTCAACACGTGATGAGTGAACGATGAGTAGCTCGTGACCGAATGGTGAAGTTTAAAACAACTAGGCCGGAGGTTGAGCGTCCAAAACTCCATACTGATGATTTCAAATGAGGATAAAACAGCTACACAGTACTTCTTGGCTTTTCAGCATAGACTGGCTTCACTTATAGAGGGAATCCCCACCGAAAATATCAGATTTCTTGACATTACCGTCCAAAATATCAACCCTGCACTTGTTGTGGTTGTGAAAACAACCGCCGGTCCCACTTTTTTCTTTACCGTGGTCTGTAAATAGACAACAATTGTGAGAACTGATCACCTATTTGGGCGTCAACACTCTGTCATACCATGTTGTTCCGTGTACTTCAGCAGGTTACCCTCCTGTCACAGTACATGTCAAGCATTCTGGGGTCCTTCACCTCAGCCTCACAGTTCGGACGTTCTCTTGATTATTGCAAGTCCGTGTGTTTGTTCTTCCTGTTCTATGTAGTTGAGCCAAACTGCCAGGTTTCTCGCTCTCATTCGACCACTTTCTTTTAACAATCCCACCTTGAGACGAGTGTCCAAGTGGACACAAAACATACCACACCTCGACAGAAATGTAAACCTAATCCAACCGATGTCCAAATCACGCTCCGCTCGCATTTCTCGGCTAGTTCGTCGGAGTGTCCCAGATAATGGACGGAAGTAACTCACACCATTCAGCATTGGGCGCGTGATCGATTTCTCCGCTGTCATTCTAAGACGGACAGTCGACACCAACAGTCATGATGCAGGTTAATAATCTGACAGACAAGTGGTGGTGACTAGGTAAACACACCACAAGGACCAGCAAGTCGATCAGTCCCAAGCGCTTAACGCTAAAACTCCAAATTCTGCTCCTGGGGAACATGAGCCTTTGGTTAAAGCTTGGTGACTTTCTTCTACCTGAGTTTGGAAGCTTGTGTTTCTAGGATAGCAAAAATTCCAGTTTCTCGCCCTATCACAGTCAGTTTGCGTGTTGATTGAAAAAACATCATCGTTATATAGGGCTGTTCGTAAGTGGGCTTTGGAAGAGAGGCCAGAAAGACCGCTGCCTGATTGCAGCCTACTTTCCACGGTACTGCTATTGTATGGGCAGCTTCTTCTTGCTTTCATCTTGCAAAGACCACATATTGATCGGCCGATGTCCATCTTCACAGTCTGTTAATGTTGAGTCATCAGTAATGGGCTAGTGAGTTGCACTTGTTGTGAACTCAGTAACACACCTGCAACGGTGTGAGTCATCTAGCGCCTGAGATGCTTGTTTAGAGAATCCGAGACGAGTCTTGTTTCAGCTGACGGACGTGTGGGCCATCGTCGGGTGAGGATGTCAAATCTGCAGAATCAGTGGTCGCACTTGCGTGCGTCGAGCCAAACAATCGATAGGATATTCGAGAGGAACGCTTTTGGCATTTCGTCCTGAGTTGAAACACACTGGCTAATGGGAACGCACTAGGTTGAAAGCAGTCCAACTACTCACAAGCGACCATATTCCGTGCAGTTTTCGTGTTAGTGATTCTTGTCTCCCCTCGGCAGATAGTTGGTGGTATTTATCGGACCACAGTGAGGACATCCCAGGCGGTTTATTTTTTGTGGAATAGTGATTCTGTTGCACAGATGTTCTACACAGTAATGAGAAGAAGTCTATCGTTCCTTACAAAAAAACACCTTCAATTTGATGACATTCACAAGCTGGTGGTGTTGCAATTCTTCAGAGTTGATTGCCGAATTTTCTACTCACATTGACGAATGTATGTGTTCTTAAGTTGCGGGTCATCATCACTTTCCAGAGAATCGACCGGATATTTTGGCATAAGGTTCCAGCTCCTGGTCCATGTATATCAATGTATACTGTACCCCCGTCTCTCTGCACCTACGGAAATGAGCAACCCAACTGCCTTATTTTAGAAAACGTACTACAGCCTATGGTTAGGTTCCCCAGTATAGACCTTCACATCACTACGGTTAACTATATCACCAGCTTGAGTTAGGCGCGGGACTTGGCCTAGTCGCGACCTCAATGGCGCTCGTGCATCCAACCTATTGCCTTCAGTGCATAGCTCCACTTCCCAATCCTCCACTTGACAGCCAACCGACAGTTCTGGATCTATGCACCAACTTATCATCTCCCGCGTGCAATGCACAGCTACCTACCCCTTCCCCCAAATCATCGGTGAACGAAACAGTGGCAGCTATAACCACTACGACGAGTACGTGGTTATTACAGCTGACAATGATGATGACGATGATGATGGCACGGGACTTACAGCAGGAAGAAACCACTGTTTGACATGTCACCTCGCGTCTTTGTAGCATTTAATCTCCGGTAGACTAGTTTTGTCGGATAAAACAAATGGACTGTCTCCAGGAGCCGTCGCATGGTACAATGTTTTGCCTTTGCCAACATGATGAAATGTGCATCCCGTACTCCAAGACAATTTTAGTATTTTGAGCTTGACAGACGCAGACAGAGAACTTTCAGACTAGCCGACTTATGTACAACTGGTTTATGCCTCACAGAGGGACTTTGTCAGGTCAAAATGTCTATATGGGATATAATTTAGTGAGGAGACGCCGCAAATCACGACTCTTTTGTTGGTACCTCGTTTACTTTACCGACCACTGTGATACATCAAGTAATAAAATAGCTTGAGAGTCATAGATGAAGACAAAGAAAGATTGATGCAGCTGTATTTATTAGGGTACCACACAATTTCCCACTAGATAAGGGTAGAACTTTCACGAACGGACGGTAAAAGGTGAAGCTAAAATACTCCATTCCTATTGGCTCACATTTTGATCAGTTTGGTTGGCCATCTGATCCTTAGCTGGCTCGCGATGGATCCGTCCAGCAGACGTGATTTACGCTTAATTCGAGTGGCTCGCCTCCCAAAGGATGTCTTCATTACTAACTCTTCTTATTCGGTCTGATCTGACTAAGATTGGTAGCACACCTAAGAGATTAAGAGCACTGCCAAATCATAATTTTATATTTTTAGTCTCAACATCTCAAACGGTTCATTCAGAAATCCTCAGTTTATGTTTGGGTGTCTTATTTTGTAGTTTGAGAAATTTGACAAAAGTTGGCACACACTGTGTTTGAGCCGTTTACCTGCTTTCAGAACCAGCCTAGTTCGTCCGGATAACATATTGCACTCAGAAGCTATGCTCGATCTGATCAAACTGACGAGCCAGGAACAGTAGGTATACTCTTTTACCATAGCTCTGGTGTTCATCCTCTTCTCTGAACCACGGCTCCTTGGCTCACCGAATATACGTCTCGTACTCGACAATCTAAGAGAAAACTCACTCCGACCGCATCACGTGAAGTGTGTTCACCGGAAGGTTGTAGATATTAATTTTCAGAACCATTATGCAACACTCCTGTTCAGCCTCGTGAGCTCGTCACTCAACCAGCCTATAGTACACAGCAGCATCTCATCGCAGACGTAGCCGGTATTCATGGCATGCTTTTGGGACAAAGCCTTCCGATAGTCCCTTCTTCAACAATGATAAGGAGGAGAGTTGACTTAGAAAGAGTTGTTCAAGGAATCAGTGGAAAAATAGAGCTTTTTGTGGCCTTATGTAAAGATATGTTGACAAACTGAATCTGTGGCTCAGCAAATCATAAGATTTTGAATGTTGTCTTTTTCCAGTCAGGATTTCTCCTAGTTACAATTGAGATGTTTACTAAACTGAAGGCAATCACAGTTTTCTTTCGTCTTACTGTCACTATCGTTGTGTTCTCAGTTATCTGAAGACATCAACAGATTCAGATGAAACTTTGTTCGCACGTCTCAAAACCGTTGAGCAGAAAACCATAGTCTTATGGAACGGACAATCCTAAACTGATGCCATTGCTTCGCTGATTCGAAACACATCGGCGACTCTATATTTAAGATCAGGAAACAAAACCAACCTATTCACCCTATAACAGTTACATAGACACGACTACCTTTGCAAAGAGCCATGACCTTTGTACTATCGCTTGTCTGCATCACTCGTTTCCTACTATCTTCAATCTGCCCCAAGTTCTCAGGGTACACGGGAGCCTCTGTATGATTTCTCGTGATCGATCCGTCGTTTGATTGGTCAGTTTACTGGTGCGTCCGTTACTGAGCCGACCAATAGATTCGTCAGTTTAGCTGGACTACTTTTAGGTGGGCATGTGGGAAACCACCAACGAAAGCGAAAATTTAACGGCTCAGGACACTTGTTTGCAAGGTCTCCCCCTACTGTAGTGTTAAGAAACAGTGCTTGTAGAAAACAGACGGGACACAGAAGCCATCATCCGGGTTCATTTGCTGAAAGGCATATTTGGTTATCCTTCTTTATTATGTCACGATCCATCTTGCTATTCACTTTTGTTGTACACAATTTCTTTTCTGTAAGGTGCACCTGGAAGGAATCGAACCTACTCCGGTTCACCAACAATGCATTCAGGTCACGGGCCACCTTTCCGTACTACCTATGTGCCTTCTTCACCATCTAGACGACCGTAAGTGCTGGGGTAATAATCGGTTAATTGTGCTTTTTACGGCAATCCCACTGCCATATTAAGGTGAACACCATTGTCGCTTTTAGTGTCTCGTAATTTGTGTGCACTGACTAACCGATGGTGGTCGACCGAAATCCATCGCATAAACTGGGCATGAAACTGAATTTTAATGATATCCCAGTCACTGAGTTACCGCGGTTTCTTTCACAGGCCGGATAAGAGTATGTGAACAACAGAGCGGAATTATCTTGTTATCACCGATGATTATGAAACTTCAAAGGAGATGCTAGTATGTTATGTTCACGTACACGCCTGACAAGTAGGAACGAACGCAAGGGACGGCTTTGCCACAGAGTAGGTGATGATAAATGGTGACTTTGCATGAGCCAAAGTCGGTGGGTAACCATTCGCCAAATTGAAACAGAGAAAACATCATCACGGCTATCGCGATCACAAATCAGAGTGTGTCTTATACAAGACTGAGTCCAATCAAATGAACGTAGAATTGCTGAACAAGCCTAATATATATCCAAACTGAACTAACGTATCGACGATGGGCAAGGGCGTGGCTACGAAGATGGGTTGGCTATTTTAGCTGAGTGCACGCCTGGTGAACCGGACACTTGACACGCGATGCTGTTTCCTCATGGTGGCTGATTTGAAAAAAATCCGGTTGGAAGTGAGAAGAGGTTGTTGTACCTTATTTTGAGTCGTAATTCATTCATTCTTCGTTCCGTTCTGGCTAAGCATGAAACGCAAGTCATTTATTGTAGCCCGTCGCCAGTGTACAACATCAACGGTGCTAGAGTGTAATTTCCGGCCGTTTGTGATTCGATGTGCTAAGTACTGAGGAAAGAGAGCACAAAAAAAACAAAGTTTTCATTCTTGACATGTGAAAATTCCTCTAAATTTCCTAATCTGAACCTAAACATTAGGAGCTGCTGAAATAAAACGATCATGCACTATATGCAGCTGGTTGTTAACTGACTCGAAGTTGATGGAATAAATATTTGTCAAATTTTACGGTGACTCTTGAGTTGGAAACAGGTGACGGCTTACCGGCACCGAAAATGACCGAAGGTTTCTAGGCATCTCGAATATCGTTCCAGTTGAAAAATGAGGCGGCCTGGTGCAGCACATTCAGTTACTTAAAACATCATAAAAAAGAGATTCAGCTGGTTCCCAGGGGAGTCACCTGTCAAAACCGAATCGATTTGCAAATGAGTGTAATTCACTAATTTCATGAAATTCGGGTTCAGGCAGAACATGAAGTTGGTAATGTGTTGAAATATTGGTAGCTCAGGTGAGCTTATTGGTTGTTGATCGGGTGGCTGCGCACCGATGATGTCTCCTCGTATGGTGACGAACAGTTTGCAAGCCAATTGCCAAGCTCGGCGAACAGATCAACAGCCACCTGATCAACAACCAAGAACATAAAGTCAACGGAAACTCAGGAACCGCGCCTACCTGATGAGCTCCAAGAAGAGCGGAACTGGTTGTGGGTTGTCGAAGAGTGAACACAGAATAGATTTAGAATATGTTGACATTCTGAGACGGCGACCAAGATTCACACCGCAGAGACTAGTGTCCGAGGCTGTGGAGATTGCCAGGCATCTCAGCGTCAAAAGAATAGGGGGGGGGGGGAAAAAGAGCAAGCATAGGGAGTGTTGCTCCAGATCAACCGAGAAGACACGAGGCGGTGTAAAGTTATCAGTCAAATGGTCTGGGCTTAAAAGTACAAAATTCAAGCGGGGTAAGATCCACTTAACCACCACCCCAACCCTAATCCAATTATCCTGACATCGCTTACAAGCGAACATAATTTGTGAACGACCTCTAAGAGGAACAGCCCATGAAGGTAACCTAGACCGGAAAAGCAAGACCACAGAATCCGGATTCAGTATGGAAACACCGGCTAACCGACAAACAGGAACTTTACTCTGACACCGAGCATTGATCAAGTCGGCTAGTAGTAAGAAATCTCACCGATTGTTTCTCTAATTGCCTCAAAAATCTATCAAACTAGGGACTTATTCACTAAGCCTTTTGTGTCAAAAGCTAAATGCCGTCCAGCAATAAATCCGCCAACTGTTTGCCAAGCCTCCCTGTAACCAGTGATTTTATTGTTGAGCTTTTCTCATACAATGGCATTTCGACAGGCCGCAAACTTTTCTATCACAATAAGTTTAATATTATAGCTATTCAGCGGTAAGGTGTCTTTGAGTACACTGAGAGTGGATTGGTTGAATTATTAACAATAAGACGCTGACGGTTGCTAGCTTTGCTAAATATTTGCGGGCAGTTTTTTGTACATGCTGATATGAATACCAGTAAATCAGGGCGCATACTTTGATGCTTGGGGGTGTTCACATGCGCGACGTATCCTACTGTCACAGCGACCTGGTTGACGTCAAGGCGAGACTGGCTTGTGAATACTCGGCGACCGACGCAAACAACGCGCCGCAGACAGTTGTGCTCCCCATTGTTGAATACACGAGTCAGTGCTGGTCAGTATTTGAAACTGACAGCAAAATGTTCTTTAGTGGACGGTGGCCAGACATACTTTATGCATGCACCAACCCCCCCCCCATGGTCGGAGGAGCTCAGCGGAATATAACTCACTAAACAGTACGTACGTGCTTGCGAACCGTTTCATTACGCACATGCTTCAGTCTGCCATACTACTTGGTAGGTCAGGCCTCACTGCCGTACAGTAGGTTTACTCTGACGGTGGTTTTACTTTACGTTCCCGGCTTCAAAGAATTTGGCGAAGCTGGCTCTTGCTTTGATGATGTGTGCATTGAATTTTACCAGAAGAAACCATTCTTTAGGTTGTGGATATTTCGAGTTGCTCATTGGAGACATAGAGTGGCAGTTTGAAGACGTTCTTCAATCTGAATCTTGCCCAGCATGTGCACTGCCCAACGAAGGGGGTGAGATGGCTCAAGTGGTTAGATCGCCGGAAAAGCAAGACCATAGAATCCGGATTCAGTATGGAAACACCGGCTAACCGACAAACAGGAACTTCACTCTGACACCGAGCATTGATCAAGTCGGCTAGTAGTAAGAAATCTCACCGATTGTTTCTCAAATCGCCTCAAAAATCTGTCGACCTAGGGACTTATTCACTAAGCCTTTTGTGTCAAAAGCTAAATGCCGTCCAGCAATAAATCCGCCAACTGTTTGCCAAGCCTCCCTGTAACCAGTGATTTTATTGTTGAGCTTTTCTCATACAATGGCATTTCGACAGGCCGCAAACTTTTCTATCACAATTATAGCCATTCAGCGGTAAGGTGTCTTTGAATACACTGAGAGTGGATTGGTTGAATTATTAACAATAAGACGCTGACGGTTGCTAGCTTTGCTAAATATTTGCGGGCAGTTTTTTGTACATGCTGATATGAATACCAGTAAATCAGGGCGCATACTTTGATGCTTGGGGGTGTTCACATGCGCGACGTATCCTACTGTCACAGCGACCTGGTTGACGTCAAGGCGAGACTGGCTTGCGAATACTCGGCGACCGACGCAAACAACGCGCCGCAGACAATTGTGCAATGACTATGTAATTTTGCTCCCCATTGTTGAGTCAGTGCTGGTCAGTATTTGGAACTGACAGCAAAATGTTCTTTAGTGGACGGTGGCCAGACATACTTTATGCATGCACCAACCCCCCCCCCCGGTCGGAGGAGCTCAGCGGAATACAACTCACTAAACAGTACGTACGTGCTTGCGAACCGTTTCATTACGCACATGATTCAATCTGCTATACTACTTGGTAGGTCAGGCCTCACTGCCGTACAGTAGGTTTACTCTGACGGTGGTTTTACTTTACGTTCCCGACTTCAAAGAATTTGGCGAAGCTGGCTCTTGCTTTGATGATGTGTGCATTGAATTTTACCAGAAGAAACCATTCTGTAGGTTGTGGATATTTCGAGTTGCTCATTGGAGACATAGAGTGGCAGTTTGAAGACGTTCTTCAATCTGAATCTTGCCCAGCATGTGCACTGCCCAACGAAGGGGGTGAGATGGCTCAAGTGGTTAGATCGCGAATTTACTGACCACAGGGTCCATGGTTCGAATCCGATCACTGCCTCTCGACTTCCCCTGTCTAGGCTTGGGCAACCTGGAAGTATCTCAGCCCTCTTTCTTCCCCCCGGATGGCATTACAGCTGGGCACCGGAAGGGTGTTGCAGCTGAACGACCACCCAACGAGATGCTGATCCAATCAAGCAGACGATAGTACAGGCAAGATCCTGATTTCTACATCGTATGATGCCAGTAATCTGAACAGCGCGGGACAAAGTGGTCATGAGACCATTCATTCTCAGTTGTTGACAAGTTGGTCTGGGTTCGTTCCCCTCCGTGCCACAGTTTCGCAACCGTTCACACGTTGTGAGCGAAACCTACTGGGTATTGGAGAACACTTTTACCTCTAGTTCCGTTTGTCTTCTCTGGTAAGCCATTGTCAAGGTGATCTAAGGCAAACCGTTCAAGGAGAGAAGTCCGTAAAGCAGTAGTGGACAGTGAAATTTCACCTCACCCTTAATTACTTGCCTGTTTACTGGAAAATGGCTGTGATCACGTGATCACCAGAACTGACTCTATCTATTCACAATAAAATAGGTCCCGCAGCCAGTATCAAGGTTGTCAGTCCCTGTCGTCTGGACATATGATGTAGCAACGTCATATTGCCGACTCATACCTAAAGTTGACATATTCTCAAAAGTCTAGAGCCCTTGTACAGATGCTTCACGTTGCTTTTTGGAAGTATAGTCATTGAGAGAAGAAATCAGCCGAGCAACCCTCAGAATCCTCAGTCTCAGATGTACCCGATCCAGCAATATCCCCACGCTTATGCGAACCCGCTCTCCGGATGATTCTCACTCGACTGGTTCTATATTCCTCCGTCAGCGCATTCATATTTTCACGACACGTTCACAAGCAGTCCACGAATGAGCAAGACTGTTTGGCACACAAATGTCGGTAGGCCAATCACGAGAAGACCTCACCCGGACCAGTGCAGCTTTTCCCACCAAGATGTCGGAAAAGAAAGTGTGAGAACCTTGAATCAGTTAGCAGACACGCGTCTACAACCTTACATCATCCACCATCAAACCCGTTGTGAATGCCAAACTGAAGCTACTTGATAGAGTCATAAATTTCAATGCAACGCAAGGACAGTCGAAGTCCACTGACGTCATTCCGACAATCGAACATCAGAGGCAAATAACAAATCGCAGCTACCGTCAAAACCCATGGACCACATGCAAGCCAGCCATAACCTGAACAACAAGAAGTCTCAAAAGCACTTCTCTCCAATAGAGCGATAGTTCTCAGCCAATCAGACATGAGGAACGGAGTCGATTATAATCGTAAATAGGAACACACACGAAAGGGATGCGCTTGCACAAACAAAAACACGTAACCTCAAACTATGCATCTACTCAGAAAGGTGGAAGAGCTCGTTTGGTCATTGCATCCAGAGACGGTCTCTGCTTCATTTTACTATGGCTTAGTGAAGCTACATAGACCTGATTTGCCTCTGTCGTCCGTTGTAAACTATGTACAAAACACCTAGCCTGCTTTCTCAAACCCCTTGAGAGAACTGCACTTCACACACACAACTACAACTCAGAACATCTGACTCACAGATCGGATGATCAATGTGTGTAAGTTTTGTTGGCTTTGACGTGGCCTCTCTACTAACAAACGCATCGGTAACAGAGATAAGATGAGTCCTTCGATAGGACGTAATGCGACCTGATCGTTCTTCAATAACTGCGGATAAAGCACCAAATCCGTTTCCGCGTTACAGAATAGACTCTTTAGACAAACGGCTAGAGGGGAGATGGGTTCCACTGCGCACGATTTAGAAGGCTGCTTACAAGAAGTTGGTATAAGTAAGCTGAACACTTGCTGGTCGTTATCGAAATCAGGTGGTACTGACGTCTTCAACGCACATGCACGCATATATCAGATTTCCGTTTGGAAGAGAAACAGAAGTTGACAAGATCTGTTCACTGGATTGCGTACTACAACTAACAAACAGTAGCGTTGTCAGTGTCAAAACATTGGTAGCTCGGGTGCGTTTACCGGTGGTTGATTACCGTTGATCTATCCGATGAGCTCGGCAGTTAGCTTACAGACGTTTCCTTTCTAGTCAAATAGACGTCATCAGTGAGCATTTGAGCATGTAAACTCAACAGATGGCCACTCAACTGACTATGTCTCCTAGAGCGAGGGCGAAGAATTTGCAACCTAATCACCGAGCTTTGCGAAAAGATCAACAGTCATCTGATCAACCACAGTAGGATACTAGAAACAGAATTTTGCTGAAAAGAAGCTTGTTAATGCTCTAACGAAACCCGAAAACTAGTTATACGAAAGAGAAAACGGGGAGCACTAACAATGTCCGCTTGTTGAGTAAAATTATTGCAATAGATATATATGCAAACAAGGGACTTATCGTTTTGCAGGTACAGTTTGATGAATCCTGTTGTAAATCCGGATGCAGGTTTCGTGTCTTCTTCGCTGTTGTAACAGCCACACGTAGTCCTGGATATCCGTGAATGAAACGCCGTAAAGATCCTGAGCGGCTCTGCTCCGAGCTGGGCGACGTGCGAAGCTCTGTTGAGTTGTGTCGTGTTGCTGTGCTGGCACCCTATTTGTAGGACCTTTGCGTGTGTGTGGGTGTCAGCACATGACTTTTTGCTACCGTATCAGACGGTAGACAGTCGATATCGGATGTGTATCGTGATTTGTACTATTAGGAAAAAAACGAGGTCTTGGGATGAAGGGCTTGACTGTGAGCTGTGTAGTCAAGTTAGTCACGATTGTAGCGTGATTTGTGAGTGCAAGGAAAAAAATAGATCTCGTGATCCAGCGATTGGCGGTGACCTGTACAATCATGTATGTGGCGAAAGGGTAGCTACAAGCTCAGTCGAACAGACATTTGTGTTCCAACCATGACAATGCGGTATGCATTAGGAAAGTCACAGTCGTGAGTTGCTGTCGAACGTTTGCTTCATCAACTAAATCCACGGAGGGATTGGACAAGGAGACTAAATTCATTACTTCGATTCTGGGGAAAAATGGTTACACCGACGTTCTTTGCAAGTATCCGGGACTATGGCACAAAGGTCAACGCAGAAACAACGCAGTGCCTTCCACCGGTGATAACGTCCTATATGGGTAATATGTCTGAGGATATCAGGAAGGTCAGCTTCCTGAAAGCAGCCACTGAATGCCCGAAATCTACCGAGGCTCTCAGCTCCGCTATATGTTGACCAGACAGACAACACCCCTCAATATGCAGCGCCTCACAGCCTTGTATCAAACCCAGGCAGCGAGAGTCGGTGTTGATCAAGTTCAGAAAACGCCCCCGCAATATGCAGCACATCGCAGCCAGACCGCGTGCGTCAGCATTGGGCCAAGTTCAGACAGTATCCGTTGTACATTCGCACTCGCACGCACTCACGCTCTCGCACTCGCTTGTTCGGAATATAGCGGTTGTGTTCCCTTCTGTAAGTCTTTTTTCTCCGGCACTAGGCACTGGAGCGGGTCAGCAGCAGATACCACAGGTTGACAAATCAGCAGATATAACAGAGGATATGGACCGATTCTGAACCACCAGCATTGGAGTGGCATTCGAAGCAGTGAGCACAAACGGAAGAGGTCCGGTCCGTTTACAAGACACTCAATCGATGATGGAACGAGAAAACTGTGTCTGCAGACTACAATGCAGCGATTGTGATGCGTGTTGTATTGGCCGGACAGTTAGCACTGAGGGCGAAAGAGCATGAACGCTGTTGCAAGAGACAATCTGGGGTGCAGTAAAACTGGATAAACTGGGACATGACTCAGTAGTTACTATTCACTTACTACTGACTGATCGTCGAGGAAAATTTGACCAACCCACCATATGGAAGCACGGTTGCTGTAGCCGTACGGAAGCTCTGTTAATCAGGGAGCCTGTCGGATGATGCAGGCATATCGCCCACCTGGCACACAGTATTACCACGAAGAGCCATCAGGTGTCTAGCGGACGTTAATCAGTTAATCAGTTGTACGCCAAACATCAGTTCACTGCATATACGTATTATGATCACCCACCATTGATATTAAGAAACGTTCACCTGCCGAATTTCATCCACCCCCACTCCTACCCCTTTTTCGTAACCACGGATTCCAAGGCACTCATGTTTGACTATGCAGGTCACACACTGTAAACAGGATGCAAATCCATCGATATACATTTTCAGAGGGGGTCGAAACGTTGCCATTAACCGGACTTCTTGCTCGTGCGAACCGTCGTGTTTTTTTTCACAATTACAATATCAATCAGCATAACGCCTAACGTGCTCACACACTTTCGACTCAATAGTGGCTCAGACACTTTATGGTTGTTTCAAAGACGGGTCAAATGACGTCATTTACTTGACAGGACTGCAGAACCAGGCAAACGCTATGACTGAAAAAGATTGCTGTTCGCGTGGAGGGATTTTGTAAATCTAATGGAGCTTTCTTCCAATAAGTAAAACCAATCTATTCTGGAAGGCAGAGGTGCACTGCACACCTGTCCTGTTCTTGTTGGAAATAGTTAGCAGTGCGTGGCTCATGATGCAGCTCATGAAACAGCTCTATATTACTTCTCAGATGTTCAGCATAGGTTCATCTTAACTCACTCGCAGGACGAGATCCCCTTTAAAGGTTGAAATGGATGTCTCAGTGTAAAAAAGCCAGAAACATGAACAGTATAACCCGCCCAACAATGACAAAGTATTCCTCCAATCGTGCTGAGTTAGAAAAACAGGTTCCATTCCGTCGTTTCTCGAATTTGCGTTTACACTTTTTAAAGTTTAATTTATTTGCTGTTTTGAGTTGGCCGCTTGCCCTACTAGGTGCGGAAATTAGTAGTAGCCGGCTGTTGATCTCTTCAGACGGTCTTGCGACTACTCATAAGTAGTCAAAACGATTACTCCGAATACTCACCACTAGTCCATGGGCTTCCGTTTGATTGAATGTCCTTAAAAATGACGCGATCAGGTTTCAATAAATCCCAGCCACAAGATCACTTCCTTATATGAGCATAGTGAGGTTGGACACGTGATCCTGTGTAGTCAGGATCTTCGAGCTCGTATCCTTCTGGTCACGTGTCCGCCTATCAGGCTGCAAAATTTAGTGAATTTCGATTGTGTTGTATTAGTTTGTTTGAGTTTTTCGGAATCTAGTATAGAAAACCCCACTTAAAAACGGTTGTAAACATTTGCTTATAAGTGGTAAGCGGTGCTAGTGCGCCGTACAACTCTGGCCATCAGTCCTTCGGGGATTTCACAACGTAGTTCAAATCCAATCACGGGGCTTTTGCAAGCCAGATCACAAACTCGGCGAACAGATAAACTACCATCTAATCAGCGATTACAGCAAGATCGTGTCCGGTCCTATGGATACAAGGGGATAAAAGGTGCTGTGAAAGGCACGAACCAAGTTGATTCGGTACGCACAGTCCACTAATCGTGGATATGGTGAGCACTTAGCATGAATGTTAACCTTATGGTAGTTCACCATTCTCATGTACCATTACATTTTGCACTCCAACCGAATGAGTAAGCTATCGTTATTTTCTTTTTAGCCGTCAATGGGGGCAGTCCAGTTATGATGAACAAACTGCTCGCTTCACAGGTAAGTCCGAGCATGGCCCAGTTCTGTTGAAAAAAAGATGTGTGCTTCTTCAAGTTTTTATTTTACGATCACCAAGTGAAACAATTTTGGTAGGTGTCACAAAAGACAATAGCTTTTCAGAGACGATCGGCAAGACCAGACCGAACCAATCGCTCCTAAGTTATGTGTGCTGATGGGGTCAAGTGATGCGCCAATTTTATTGGAGAGCTTCAGGCAGGTCTGTTCCGTCCATCTTATTGGTCATGCAACAGGAACCAGCCTGTGTGTGACGTTAGTTTGCAAATCGGCTGTTGGTGTAACGCAAATCAATATGTGTGCAACGCTGTGCTTTGAGACATAACCATCTTCTCTTCTACACTATATCGTACATTGTCCATGCTAATCCTGTCGGAAGCTTTCGTGTCTTCATTGTTCGCTGTCGGAACTGTAACGTCCTCATCCAACAACATCTTCTCAGAAGGCGTAATAATGATTCCTACCGGTTGAGCAATCTCTGAAAGACTGAGCCAGGCAGTTTGTATTCCGGATGTAAAACGTTTGTGCATACGACCCATATCAGTGAACTGCAGATTTTGCGAGTCAGGATGGACTAACGTGTGCACAGTTTTGCGGGATTCTGTTCCGGTGGAAGATAGCGATCTTGCCAGTGTGTGCGACCACAGTTGTGTGTCACTGATACCCTCGGCGTGCTTGAGGAGAACGTGTCTTTTTGCCTTTTGTGATCTGTTTGACATTGCCTTGTTGAGCGTGGAATTTTCACAGGGCCTTGATATATTTTATCCAGGTTTTCTGTATCTTATTGCCAATATTTACGTATACTTTGTATAGATATTTCACCGGGAGTGAGTCCTGTAAGAACCCCATCAACTCGTTTACTCCGATCTCCTGTGAGTCCGCCGCTTCGACCATCTGGCTACGATCGCCGGCATGGTGGTGGAGTCCTCGACACTGGAAGTCAGTCGGATACTGGTCTCATAGGTGATTATGGCAGACGAGGATGGCCTTCACATGAATACGGTGGAAGACGTCCGTACCGAACAAGCCGAAGCGGACGAATGGACTTTCCTCATCAGCGTGGTCGACCCCAGAACGATCGTCTCTTCCATAGCCCCGGACGTGTGCCAGGTTTAGAGGAGTTTCGTGGGTATGGTGCACTAGGTGAGCTATATTTGTAGCTACATTTGTGTCTTGTCATCTGTGACTGAAGAAGTTTAATGGTTCGCTCCACCATTCTGGCGTTGTCTAGACACTGTTGAGTGTTTTGTTCACTTAGAGGTTGAGCTAATCGATCAGCGTCACCTTCTTGCGGAAGTAGCCCACTTCCCCGACCACAATACCCACTTGTGTACCAACACAGGTTCCTAAATGCCCAGTCTTTCGCGGACAAACACGGGATTTTGTCGTGTGCATACATAACTTTTTCTCTGCTATGCTTTCAATGTGACCCATGAAATGGCTGTATGTCGCTTACTGATGGAGTAGCCAGCATCATTCTACCGCAAATTGCGTGTCTTTACAAATACGTGAGTGTTTTTTATTCTGGCCAATGTCTGTTGAACAGAAAGCGGGCCGATCGATCAAACTGTCTACGGTATGACTAACTGAGTGAGCACCCGAATGCTTAGTTGATTGGTTACCTAAGCGACGGATATCTGCCCCAGAATAACCACTGTTCAGCTAAAGTTGGAATAATTTGCGTTGCCAAATCACGCGATTAACGGATTCACGAATACCTTGCGATAATCCTGGAACAATGCTTACTGTTCCTGCTAAGTATGCATAATTTATGAATGTGGAACCACGGAAAGTAAATATTGTGACGCAAGTTGCTTGCTAACTTCGTCCAAAATACTTCTTTCTCTTTCATGCAACATATAAACTACTTGAAAAACTTCCGAAAACTCTTCACCAGCTCATTACGGTTCCGCCCTTCTTGGGATTCATCCCGGTGGGTCAGTCTTCTTATTTCAGTTAACCTTGTATTCTACTTGAACACTGAATTTTACGCATCTGATGACCCAACCTTATCTGCAAATTTATTTGGTGTTAAAAGGAAACTCAACTGCTCACAAGGTTGCGTTTCCCGTGAAAACCAAATTGGCTTGTATATAGGCGTATTTGTCGAAGCGGTCCAATTTGGGTTGAGGTAGAACATAAAGTTGACGCGAACTCCGGCACTGCGCCTACCTGATGGGCCCAAGGTGGAAGGGCGAAACCGGTCGTGGGCTGTCGAAGAGTTTTCAGCAACCTTGAGAGTAGCTCGAATATCGTACAAACTGAAACATGAGTTGAAGAACATCATAAACGAGAGACTCACCTGAGTCTTCCGTGAAAACCAAATTGATTTGCAAATGAGTGTATTTGTCAAGACTCAACTGAATTCCAGCCACATCTCTCGGTGAGGTGGACTAAAAGTCTATTTGAAGAGTTACCCTCCAACCTTTCTCACTCGCCCTTCTACCACTGTTTAAGTATGTTCCGTCTGTGAGTGATGGAAACTGTAAAATTTGAGGGGGCTGCTTTCCTAAGAAATGTGCTGTCAAAAACCAGTATTTTCGTGGCTTTTCTCTCTTTTGAAACAAGCGGATACTGGAAACCCCACAACAGGACTGTGAGTGTCGCATTCTGGCTGTAAATTCTCAGACCATAACGGACGTTGTCTGTCTAGAATAGAGAATTCCATAAGTGCCAGAATCCACTACGCCACCTGTTCATCCACCCTAGCAACCATGGTAGTTTACAATTGCAAAAATTCGTCTCAGATATTATTGTATATATATAACATTAAAAATTAAATACACATCGTATTGAAAAGCTTTTCAGCAAGGTGTGGGACAATTCAGTGATCAAGGTGAAAAATAACTCCCTACTCTTGAAAAAAACACTTAGTGGTGCGGAAATTATCCAGCAGACGGGGTTGATTCCTGTTGAATAGAGTTACGTCAGAGGCGTCTCCTCGATAGAAATAACTAGCCTTCATCATTGTCAGCTGTAATAACCGCGTACTTGTCGTACAGTGGTTGTAGCTGCCGAAGTTTCGTTCACCGATGATTTGGGGGAAGGAGGAGGTAGCTGTGCATTGCAAGCGGGAGCTGATAAACTGGTGCATAATCCAGTACTGTCAGTGGGCTGTCAAGTATGGCGGGGGGTTCGAAAAGGAGCTATGCATTGAAGGCAATAGCTTGAATGCACGAGCGCCATTGAGGTCGCGACTGGGCCATATCTGACAATGTCTCTAGCCATTGATGTGACTCGTCTCTGGGTCCTTATCCAGAAAGACGGCAGTGACCAGCGCAGCTGAGTTTGCTGGTAATGGCTTTCATACTTCGCTGCCAAGTCATTGTTTGACTGCCTCTGGCTCTCTCGCATCCTGGCCTTAGATTTTGCCTTTGCCTTTCAGTCAACTCTAAAACGTGTGTCATTTTAAAATCCGAATTCTGTTACTGGGTAGTTAATAGTTATTAGTTAATAGGTAGTTAAGTATTCATTTACGCGTTTATTGGCACTGAATTTCCACGCCTGAAAGATACACGGGAAAGTTGGTAAATATGCACAAGGCTGTGGCATATTTTAACATCCAAGTCATTACGATCGGACAACTTTTGTGCACAGCTGTGTTGAAAAAACAATGGGGATTCGTAACAGTACAACACATGCCGGTGGTTTGTCACTGTGTACGCGAATCCAGGCGTGTTCTAGCAGCTAGTACCGAACGTGCACTACCAAAGAGTCGAACAAAGCCGGTGAAGAATACCCTCTGAAGTGATAAGAAAGGGTAGAACCTTTGGTTTATGAGACTGGTCACTCATTGCGACAGTCAATTAGTGGCACAGTGTTAGAGTTTCCATTAAGGAATGAATATAGAATAGAAACACAAGGCGTCTAACCTCTGGTTCCAGGTTCGTTTAAGCAAGGGGCTCATTGTAGTGATACGACTCCGAACCAGCAAAGTGATCCTTTTGACGGGCTGTCTCCTTTTGAGTGAAGAATTCGCAGTAGTGTTAGCTCGGACGATACTAGAAAATTTGTGTTACACTACCAGGCACGACAATGTGTACGTTGTGCAACTGATATGGATGACGGGGAACCTTTCACTATGTTTCACTCAGAACAGCAAGAAACCCTGGTATCAAATCAGTCAATAATTGGCTGAAATTGGTCGATCCCCCGAATAAAGTCAAACACAAATATATTCCGCACTTTTGCGTTGATTTCGTGTTAGTCCCCCTTGAAGATGAATACCCGTATTCAACCAACCAAGCGTGTACTGATGGATGAACAGTACACAATACCTTAGCACAGTTTTCTGTGCTTCAAAGAAAACTGCTGCGATTCAACAAAAGATCTCACCATTAGTGCACTGAGGGATACTGTATAGGCATAATGCTCATCGTGGTCATCCAGCCTTGGATACCTCTCAGTGAGGCTAGCTAAAAAACATACTTTTTGGGTGGGGCACTTCACTCGGGAAACAAAAACTATGAGAAGATAAAGTTGTCTGTAACCACCTGTCCAGCAAAAGGTCATGTTGTTTACTCTGGACAGTTTTGAACTCTTGCGAACAAACTGAGAGATCCGGAACTTAAGTTTGGCAATCCACCAGACTGTCTCGATCGGCCAACAGCTCTTCACCACACTCACTAGTTCTGCGAATCGATCGATTTGCACGTGTTCGTGTGGGAACCAACCTTAAACTACCACCCAACTGATCACGTGTGCAGTGTACTCTACGCCTACATGGTAAGTAGGTCACACCAAGGCTCCTCGATTTACTCTCGTACAGTGTGACCACAGAGGCTGTTAGCTCTTGGTTTCAGAGTGTAATCGATTCAAAATCACTTATCCCGACACGCAGTTCAATAACGCGACTTGAGTTGACACACAATCTGAGCCTTTCAAGACTTCGAACCAGACTTCTTCAACAGCTCCAGTGTGGTCGACCAGTGAGATTTTGTTATATTTCAAATATCAAATTATATTTCGAAAAAAGTGTCGTTCGCAAACTGGACCAAATACCCAATAAGCCACCAACATTCTGATTTTGTCGGTTTGGTCAAAACTTAGAACAATCGAGCCACAGACCTTTCGATCAATAGATTCCCAAAAGAAGATCAAGCTGTCCCATAACCCTACTTATTGGAGGCATTTTTCGCTGTCTTAAGGCTGAGTCAACAGTTTATGAGTCCATCTTTGTCATATCTATGATGGAGTGTTGTTCAACCCATCTGGTTGAAACTAGAACAGTTTTCTCTGCCCCCCTCCTCAATCCCTCTTGCGGAATCGAGTCCGGGATCTCTTCTGATTTTCCTATAAAACTGCTGCATGCATTGTCAGTTCTAGCTTGGGTGCATTGGGTTGGATGAAATGACCACACTGCCACGGTTTTTCTTGAGCGGGGTTACAATAAGAAATGTGAACACAGTTTTTCTTGATTGTTTGAAACTTGGACAACCAACAACCACGCTTAATCTTTGAACTGAACCACATGCTACTTGAGTGATTCGGGGCTGTTGAAACTTACGGACGATGTTCTGACTATGTTGTCTCAACTCAGGTTGGTTTGACTGAGGCTTTGCATTGTTCTTGAACACTTTTGCAACTAGGAACAAGCTTACTACACTTAATCGAAAAAAAACAGATGTGAGTTATTTGTAACTAATCCATATTTCGTCATAGTAGGAAGAACTCAGGGAGTTTCTTAGCATTCCTCCCAGTGTAATAGGTCATGCGAGCAAGTTAGAATCCTTGAAAGCTATTAATAACGTTTACATAACTCCAAGGTTTCAAGACCTTTAATGACTCCATGTATCCATGCTCTTATACGTGTAGAGGCAGAGAGGAACTACGTAGAGCGGTCGACACGTTCGAGTGATGCTATGCAATCTCTACACGGGGGCACAAAATAGCCACGTTTGATGACCACCACACCAAATTTGGCTTAGCAAACCAGTGTTCCTTATCGGAGGTGATTCTCTCAGAGAACTCTGAAGGTTATCAGGTTGGAATAGAAGTGATACTTTCGGTTGCCGGATCAGTTTTAATCTACCCTTAGCAATTTCGCCATCTTTTTGTATTACTGGTGACCGATTAGTGTCGTTTTCATTTTCGCAAACATGTCTTCAACCTATGTACGGGTTTTAGGCATTTATCACTTACGCTGGTTTCCCGTTTCACTGTAATGTGAACACACTGTACAGGATGGGCCCAAACCAAAGTTATCTGACATGCTAGTCGCCCACCGAATGCCTCTTCAGACATAAGCCTCAACAACAGGGACGTATGACACGACAGCACATCGTGCCATGCTGTTTCCATTTGTTAGCCCGACCGGCAGTTTGCATGTCGCGCTTCCATCTCTTCCTATTCTAGTGTTACCCACTGTTTCAAAGTCAGTTTCGATGTACTCATGCTATTCGCCCTTGTATGATAATTACTTTGCTGTTAAAAGTTAAGTTCCCCTCGTTTTCCAGGAAGCTAGCGAGACATTCTTGGAGATGCCTTTTGGCAAGGACGAAACAGCATGTGACTGTTCGGATAGGTTGATGTCATTAGTAGGATTGAGAAAAAACAATGAAAAGTGTCGTAAATGATTAATTACCGGGCTCTGTGTTGTATAAAAGCTTACACGGTTTGCCTGATACCAATGCAGTTTGGGAAAGGTTTACCTGTCTGTTTACGCCTCATTGTTGTTTCCAGCGTGTCGGTTAGCTAAAAGAAAAGTTATGGAGGTGAGACTCCTTTAAAAGCCGCCTTCAATGCAATTAATCTCTTGGAGCAAAATCTAGAAAGGTGAACTATTTGTTCGCAGTTTTTTCTCTTTTCATTTACCACACCCTCCTCTCTTGGCCTGTAGATCATGTCCCGGAAGCCGCGCTGATTACACTCAATCGATTATCTGCTTCAACTCACATCTGGTATCGACCTGAAATGTCTCGAACTCAATGTAAGTTGTTCAACAAGTGTAATTAACAGCGCCCTCGGATCATTTATTTCATGCCTTTATGATATGCAGTTGAGTGCCTTGTCCCAACAGTTTGCGCTAGGATCATCCATCATTTTCGAAGTAAATGGTGAACACTTGTTAAATGAAGGCCACTCATTTATTTGGCCGTGTCTTTAAAAATTAATGTACCTTCATACAAAGTGCAACCCTGTGTAGGGGAGATGCGGTATCCATCCAAAAAGGCTCTGCTGGGACACATTTTGTCACCAACGCTGTTGGGATCTCCAAATCTGAGCGGAACAAACAATGAGTTCCCATTTGCTGCTGTCTATACTTGGACAAACTAGCGGTATCCCAGGTTTCGTTTTCCCTTCTGTTTGCATGTCAGTCTTGCACAGTAAGGATGTCAAAGCTGAATGTTTATTAATAACAGTATTCAAAGGGAGTTTTTTCCGCAAGTGAATCCAATCTATCCCGGAAACCCGAGAATCAGCGTACAATTGTATCATCCTCATTGAGAACTATCAAGAGTGTTCATCCCACAAAGCCTGCTTGTTTTTCATCTCCCTTCATTGGAAATTGTTACAAACAGAATAACCTAATTCCGTCCAGCGCAGCTCGATGAGAAACATAAGTGTGCGATAAAGCGAACAACCCAATGAGATTTCTCCTTAATCTTCCAATTCAATAAATAAGTCGGACACACTAATCTTGGCTTCTGTTCTTTCTGTGGCGCAGACTTACACGTGCCTCTACTCTTATCCGTCTCTGATAATCTCTCTTACCAACCAGCAGTGACTGGTCTCTAGGGCCTAATGTCAAAGAGCCAAATTCTTTGTTCTGTCAGGAGACGGCAGGCGGCATGTGTAGACCCGTACCTGAAGTTAAGGCAGAGCAGGTGTGTGTGTATGTGAGGGAGATTGTAAAGTATTAATCCAGTATGAGGAGAGTTTTATTATCGCTTATCATATGTGATGCTCCCCAAAGGCGTAGCGAGCAAATCCACGTGAATGACAACCCCAAGCTAACGTGACCTGATAGCTGTTTAGAAGGGCTTCCACATGACCGTTCGATTGGTAGGACTGATTTTGACAGGTGTTCAGTTCTGTGAACTCGGTTCATTTGTTTAGTAGTACTAATAATTTGAGGCTATTTTCGGAAGTTGCTTCGCTTGGTCTCCATGTTGCTCTTAATGATTAAGATATAACGAGATGGCAGAGTGGGATTTGCCGTACTGTTCCAACAGTGGTGGTGGTGCATATGTCTGATTTTAGCTTCCCAAAGTATTGCTCACTGGTGACTGACCGCAGTCAAAGAATCTTTGACTATCGATCAAAATTTATGATAGGATTAATTTTGGCTTATCGCAGTTATGGATGTAGTCTGTTCGTAAACGAGTGAGTCCAAAGGTGGTTGCAAAAATGAGGGCAGGTTTGCATTTCCCCACTTAATAAACCCCTGAATACATGCTTAATGGAGAAATTGCCTATTTGTAGATGTAGCCTGAAATCTATGTTATATCTGCTGATTCGTCGACCTGTGGTAGCTGCTGCTGACCCGCTCCAGTGCCTAGTTGCCGGAGAAAAAGACTCACAGAAGGGAACACAACAGCTACATTCCGAACCAGCGAGTGTGAGGGCATGAGTGCGTGCGAGTACGAGAGCAAAAGTTACAACGACCCCACGCTATTTGACATTGATCCAGGCTGTCTGATCGGCGTTAGTGAACACCCGTCTGAACGTTGATCACATGCTTCTGTGGCGTGCATGAACACTTATCAGCTTTTACTGAACTGATTGAACGATTGACTGGCCTGGATGCTTGCCGGCTTTCCTGTTGAGATTTTGGTGGAGCAGTAGGTTCCGGGCGTTCTGAGGTTACTTTAAGGAATCTGACCTCCTTGATACTATACAAAACCACTCGCAATTAGTTGGTGTACGCTATCATCATACTGACCAACAACAACTCAGAGTGAGCCGACAAATAACCTAGAGTCCATTCGACCACTGTTCTAAATATGACCTATAAACTTGATGTCTCACCCTGAGAGGATATCAACCAGTCGGACAAAATAATTAGAGTTCGGAGGTCGAACCATAGATTCAGTTGGTTCGACTAATTGCGATCACTCTGGCGAGAAAGTTGAATTTAATTTTAGATCAGGTTGATTGGTGAATTGATTGCAAATGTTTTCTCACCACTCGAAATGCATCAGAGTGCTTTGTTATATAATGGCGCGAATCGATTAAAAATTAGATTTTCGCTTTGTTGCTCCGTGCCCAAAATCAACACACAGCAAACCCTATTCGTCAGGTATACCACTCGATACAGGGCTGCACATGAAAGCTGATACCACCTTCTTGTAATGTCTGGGTGGATAAATCATCAAACCGCTTTACCAAAAGGTCATCCGGTCGGGTCAATTCGAACTATGCAGATCTTTGTTGAAGATCTAGCCAAAATGTCATTCGTACGTTCAGTGGGCCATTCCGAACCAGCCTACCGTGGACTCTTGTCGTATGTGAACCGGTGCTTAGTACAGCGGGGAGAATGGTCGCAGATACTTGTGAAAATAGCACGTTATATTGAGAACTCGTTGAGCGGATGATGAAGTACAGCGACTTGGACTTTCGTCTCATGCTTTTGAGGGTTCAACACCAAGAAGAAGCACACGCATTACATGACGAATCAGTATTGCTGAAACAATTGACTGTCACATTTAACGTACCCAATTTAACATTTTCTCTTCTGTGTATTTCCCAAGCATATATTGGCTGGTTAGATGGACCTTAATGGAATCTCACTCAAATATGAGGAGCACTGGTGTCGTGGCTCATGTATTGTAATAATCAAAGCGGGCGACCGAATTGATCTTCTGGTGTGATGAGCTAAAGGAGTCGAAGCAGGGTCGCATGATTGCGTTTGATCACAACAAAGCTGGGGCAGATTCATCGGTACAGCAACGATATCACCTTCGAGCATTTACTCTCGATCCTCTTTAAAGCCAAATACTCGCATAAGGCAACACTACGCGGTAATTTCGATAGATTCAACTCTATTGACGTGAAGATATTCCTTAAGTCAAAGGATTCCTGAAAGTTTGGAATACCAGATGTGAACTCGTCAGTTAATCATACATGTCCTCGGTGAATGCATTTTTGCAACACTAAGTTTACCTCCATGAATCCATTTCCAAATCTGTGCAATATTGGACGTCGCGCTATAGTTTGAACCATAAACCCATTCAAATTTTGAGTTTGTGTTTTTCTCATCTCGCTTGTGGCACTTTACATACGACCGAAATTATGTGAAATTATTCTTGAAAGACTTGGTGTCTGACACGCAGTTGTTTTTAAATTTTCCTCAAAAGCCATTGACCTTGTTCGGGCGGACCCACCTGGGACGTTTGTCGTCCGAAACAGTGGGAGCTTTCCGCGATCATTTGGTCTCGTGGTCAAAGTGTCCCGCGCCCAACAGGCCGGTAAGTGCAGTTGCGTTTCCAGTTGGATTACCCCCTTTTACTACTGATAAACTTATAGTAGCACGAAAGTAAACTACATCTAATTTGTCACTTCAACACCGGCCATCGAACTAGAAGGTCCCTGTCGAAATAAAGCATTAGCCAGTGCACGTGGGAATTTGACAGGTCAACTTGACAGTTCCCCAGAAAGAATCCTGATGTTGCGCACCTGAGACTATCATGGTATTATAGAAATCGTTGAAGTTTTCTGTGGAACTTTGACCAAGCACTTCACTGACCTGGGGTTCCGAACTTCGTTTTCACCGTAATTCATGGTCATGTCAAGGAGAGAATGAACGCACCGAGTCCCATCAAACCTGTGGCTTTGGTGTATTCGAAGATTTTGATGTTCAGTACTCAGGTTACTACTGCCAAATATCCCGCCTAGGGCAGACCTCTAATCCCACGTGCTTGTGACCCAAAATCGAAGGCAGCTAAAAAAATAACTCCTAAATATGGCGTAAGATCAAAACGTCTGGTGGCATCACTGGAAGGTGAGAGAGCCTGGTTACCCTTATTTCATGTGAACAGATAGATACTGTTTTCGGCGGTTCATTTATGAATATGGAAACACCTGTGAACTCAGACTACACGTATTTAGCTCTGGATTCCCATGGCAGACGAAAATTTGCAGCGGGGAGCTTGAAGTGCTTTTTTTTACAATTTTTTCAGTATGAGAGTGCCGTGTTCCGCATTTTTGCTATTCTTCTACTTCCATTGGGGATGTGATGGGTAAGAGAGGTTATTTTTAGAAACCAAAGTGCAGAATTTTTGGCAAAAGCAGTCTGATGCTCCATCCGGATGAAGGTCGTACAAGTCGTACAAGGTCCCTACAAGAGAAATGAATTCATTCGGAAGTTTGTGAACATAATACGTTCCTTGTATTCTCACACTTCCGGACGTGTGAGGGTGTACGGAGAGCGCTCCAAAAGCTTCTGCACACAAAGCGGTGTCCGTCAGGGATGCCCACTTTCTCCATTCCTTTTTACCTTTGTGATCGATGAGATAATGAGGCGAACGCTGGAGGGTCTCCAAAACCCTGGTGTTCAAATAGCCTGTGAAGAAAACCTTGTCGATCTGGAATATGCAGACGACATCGTTCTCATGTTCGAAGAGG